GTTAGGCTGATAATTTTGGTTGTTCAAGAACAAAGAAAATTGAAGTTGAAATGGTTTCACTAATCTGAGATTTTCTCTACAGGGATACCGCAAATTATCCTCCACTGATGAAAACAAGCAAGCTCAGCAACTCACTTAAATATTTAACGAAAGCATACCTTGGGTAGTAGCTTTGCCACAATTTCTGTCACTTTTCATTTTACTCATCATAATCCTGGGAGCATGACGAATTTTCCTTTTACAGATATGACATTCAAACCAGTATTCAAGATCCCTATGAAGACTGTGTTGCAACAATGAGGCTGTACAAGAGGATGAGGTCACAGCGTCATAAAGTGGAAGACTATCCACTTGCTTCAGACCCACAAAATCGAAACAATTTTGCAGCATGGAGGCAAAGCGAGCTTGAGAGGATGGCTCCGGAAAAGATGTTGGAAATCTCAAGGTCTGATTACTATTGCTGGTGCTTAGACTCTAGCAGATAAGGAAGGAAGTGAATTGCAATTGAAGTACTTCTCTAACGTGCCAAAACACATTAGCATGACAGCCAAACATGGAATTTTATGTCAGCAACCAGACCAAGCTTTTTTTTTTGTTTTTAAACTTATTGCCAAGTTAAATTTAATTCACTTCAGGGATGATGTGTAGGGATAATAAGCTATTGCCACTAATTGGACGACACTTTCTGAAGGCAGTAGGATTGCAAGATTGCATTATGTCAGTTGTTATCTTAGAATTCTCATGGTTGTATCAGTATTAATGTTCAATAAAAAGTTTCCACAACACTGTAGCTGTAACGAAACAACAGCATTATGTCGTCAGTTCACACTCTCATGAGATTTATTGATCTAAAGTTTATCGCGTTATGGTAAAATACTCCAGAAACTATATGCTGATTTTGAGTTGTGTAGTACACAAATGTAGCGTGTACAGCGATGTCAAACTAAAATTAAACACCGCCAGGATGTACACACATGCTTACTTCGTTTCTGTTCAATGGTGCCAGTAGAAATGTAAGAAAGGTGTGTATTTTTTTTACAGAAATAATAGAAGAGAATAGATAATGCATTCCAATATCTTGGCGGGAGAGGAGAAGAATTTTAATATTCCAAGCACAAAACATTTTGTGTGTGTGTGATTTTGCAAAAACAAAAGAAAACTTTTTCATGTAGATAATAATGTAAGAAAATTGTTTTTCTTGTTTACGCACTTGCAATTAGTTAAACTAACTTCTAATGCTAATACTATAACTAGATAAAATCTTCTATATATTAAAAGTGGCTATGTAACGGAATTTGTTGTTTTAACGAACTATGTAATGGTATTTCTTGTATTAAACAGGCAGTTGCACATTTTTTCAGATATCCGATTGAGGCGATTCAAAATGCGTTGGAAAGCTAACTCATCTGGCTACAACTTTGATTCAGACATCATTCTCCAATTCGATCACTTTCTATGCCAAAAATAGGTCTCAATATGAGACTAAAATATCGGAGCATAAATATGCTAGGCCCTAATTAATGCAGCAGCTTTACATTAAACAATTGTCTCTCACGATTTGTTGTTGCTTTACATCTTTTAATTAATGCAACAAAGAACGAAAGATTCGTATCACTACTTTATCAGATATGGGAGATTTCATAGTTAATGAAGAAGTTGTTCCACCAACATCAATGATCTTTATGGACGGCAGTTGCAGTCTATGAATTTGGTATTAATGCACAACCCTTCAACCAGCAATTTGTTAGAAGTTGTTGTTTTAGGATGGTCATGATATTACTTAGGCCATCGTTTTGCCCTCCGCAATTAAGTATTTGAATCATCTAATTTGATTGTACGTGCTCGTTCTAGCTAATTCAAACTCTTCTTTGATCATGTGATCGCTACATTAGCTTCATATTATCAACGCTAGATGTTTAATCCCATGACATAAGATTGAGAATTTCACTCTAATTTGAGCTTATTGTCATGAACTCTGACTCAATACTTGTTCATCGTTGACTTTTTTATATTGGTAATGATAAGTTATTGTATCTAGTTAGAACAATACTTTAACATTATATCGCTTCAAATCGATAATTTTGTATAAATTCAAGAGGACAAAGTATGCTTGATACTTTTGATATGCACGACGAGGATTGCACTATCGTAACAGTGCAAAATACTCTAAAATAATAAATTGAGGGAAAAATGGTAAGACGATTGTGAAAATAAATTTTATTTAGGTTTACAATTATAGCCTCGTAGCATGTCTCTTACTTGGCAAATAATTGAGATTTTTTTTATTGATATATTCTTGTTCTTGTCTAGTAGAGCCATATACAAAAAGATTATATCACCCAAATCTCAGAGCATCTTGCTCTGAGCACTTCATCCAGGGCAGGTGCTCCTTTGGATGCAATTTAACTTTTTTGCTTAAAAAGTTTGCAGAGATGGTTTCAGTGATCTGTGGGTTTACGCTGGCTGCCTTATGAGCAATTTGTCATGTCTAGCTATACCAATTTGTCGATTTTGCTATGAATTTTTGACGAAGTAAGCTAGCATGTGATGAGCGATGCCAGTTTTGAACCTTTGAGTTATGAAAAAATGAATAAAGGGGAAAGTATTTGTAACAAAATTTTGTAATTTGTTTAGTTTTTGTTTTCTCGAACCTTTTCAAAAATGTTCTCTTATACATATTTCACTTCCACAATATAAAACATGTACAAAAGATCAATGTTGTTGGTACTGCTGGTGGAAGTGTTGTGCATTAATACCAAATTCATAGACTGCTACTGTCGTCCATAAAGATCATGGATGTTGGTGGAACAACTTCTTCATTAACTATGAAATCTCCTATATCTGATAAAGTAGTGATACGAATCATTCGTTCTTTGTTGCATTAATTAAAAGATGTAAAGCTGCAACAAATCGTGAGAGACAATTGTTTAATGAAAAGCTGCTGCATTAATTAGGCCCTAGCATATTTATCTCTTTTAACTTATTTATGGGGTATATTTCTTTACTCTTCGGGTGAGATTTTTGTTACCATTTCAAAGTATTCACAACAAACTTTGAAATACATCTTTCGAATTTAAAAATCGGTAAATGATGAGTTCATAATAATAAGTCAAAAATGGCCGGAAGAAATGGACTTTATAATTATGATTTATCTTGTGTTCAATTAAACTACGCTCTATTAAAAGCTGTCATAGACTTCATCCCGACATATTTATCATGGCCACATCGTAACTTTTCTAATAGATTTTGAATCGCTCAAAATGAATAATCGTAGTGTAAAATACAGTATCAAACTAAAATTTCTTAATAATAAAAGTTTTAAAAAGTAAAATTATGCCGACTTTCAAATGTTTAATGTTTTAAATTGACGTAATATTAAAACTTTAACTTGGTTTTATGTGTATTAATCAATTCCTTCATTTTTTAGGGCACCGTGTCTAATTTCCTCTAATTTTCCTTTCAGTAGTCCATTTAATTGTCTCAACGCTAGAGCTTCAACACATCACCATAATTTTGAAATCAAACTTTAATGTAAGATGTTAGAATTCAATGGATTGGATTTAACTGGACGGATCTGATTCAATTTTGGTTGATATTGGAAAATATGAATTAATTTATAAGAGTTTGAGTTATTTCTCTTAACAAGGTTGACATTTTAAGATGAAACCATAAATTTTAACATGATATCAGAGTATATTAAATTTCAACGAGTAATTCGATCCTATTAAAACTCAAACAAATGAGTATACGGATTTCAAAATTAATTTGTTCAAACGAGCAATCATCTTGTAGGGACATGTTAAGGGATAAAATCACATGTCTAATAAAGATAAAAACATACTCCAATTTATAAGAGTTTGGACGACTGCTCTTAATAAGGTTGAACTTTTAGGATAGAACTTCAAATCTTAACAAATAAAGATGAAAAAATAAATCAATTTATAATAATTTAAGCTACTCCTCTTAATGGAATTTCAAATATTAATATGGTATCAAACCATTAAACTTTAACGAACAATTCGATTCGATTAAGACTCAAAAAATGAGCACACTGATTTCAAAATTGATCTGTTCAAATGAGTCACCATTTTGGAGGGCATGTTAAGAGATAAAATCCTACATCGGATAAAAATGAAAACATGGATAAATTTATAAAGATTTAGGTTACTCTTAATAAGATTGACATTTTATGAACTCCAAATCTTAACATGGTATCAAAACTCTTTAATCTTTAACGAGCAATTTGACGATTAAGGCTTAAAAAAAATTGAACAAGAATTACAAGATTAATCTGTTCAAATGAGCCAACATCTTGCGGGAGGTCTGTTTAAGGATAAAATTTCGCATCGAATAAATATGAAAATATAAACCAATTTATAAGAATTTGTGTTACTCCCCTTAATAAAGTTAACATTTTAAGATGGAACCCAAAATCTTAATTGATATAAGTATCTCTTCCGCCTGAATATTTGATATGATTTTATTACGTTACACACATAAATTCGGAACCAGAAATCAAATTTTAAGAACCATTTTCAAGATTGAATTTTAGCATCTCAGATCAAATCCGGAATTGGTTAGTGATATGGGTATATTTGGAGAGATCGTCTCAAGCGGTTGTCATTGCATCACGATCACAAGGAACTATTCTCGACCGACTTTAAGTCGCATACACGTTCATCAAGTGTGTGCACTATCGATTAATCAATAGGAGACAGTCTTCACCATCTCGATAAATAAAGACATGGCTCGACCAGGAACTACACTCATTGTCATGTCCAAAAAGGCACCTCAAATTAATTCTTGATATATAGCAACTCAAAAATAGAGCGATTCAGCATCTTCGGCAGATCCACTGTTTACCCAAAAAAAAATCTCAATACAGCACATGTTTATATACAATTTAGACAACTAGCATCAGTAATTTTTCTGCTGTAGACAAAATTATTGCGATTACTCAAGTCCGAAAGTGATAAATAAATTCCACAAAGAAGTTGAAACTACATTGACTTGGAGGTGCAAAGAGCATAACCGGATATAAGCGAACTAGCCGCTAGGGCAACAAATGCAAGGAACGACATCGACACAGAAGCGCTTGCCATGGTTGGGAACTTGTCGTTCCCCCAATTGGATTGCCAGTCGTCAATTCTGGTTGTAGCTGATGAAGAAGCCGATATCAGAAGATAAGTAATTATCTGCAATTGCAATCAACAACAAAAGCGAGTTTAGTTGTTGACACGTTATATATTTCAGCACACAGTGCATGTTCGGAATAATCACTTCTGGTAAAACATACGACCCACACCTGCTACCCAAAAGAACCGCCCACTAGATTAGCTAATCTTATCCCCTAAGTTTTGAATATCAGAAGCACATTATTATGCTAGTTGTACATACAGGTTATCATGATCAAAGAACAAAATATACTTCTGGATTTGGAACAGTTCAAGTACAGAGAGTTATGACTAATTGCTGGAAGAATATAGCGCTGAACGATAAAAGGATAAACTCGTGGAGAATATTACAACGTTGAATGGATTATCCTTTTCACAATTTGCACCTCTCTTTTCTCACGATAACAATTCCCTCTTTACATATCTCATAAAAGATGGTCCCCTACGAACTTTTTGCATACAATTGGAGATGAATAACAAACTTCAAAAGTGAAGAATCCAGCACCACTTGGTGAAAGATGGTCCCCTACGAATTCCCAGCCACAGCTAATTACATATGAAATATCACCAAATAATGCCAACATAACCGTAAGAATGAATTGCCAAGCAAAGTCAAGGAATGGAAAAAACTAGTTAATTTAAATTGAACCTCACAATAGGCACGTATCTTCAGTTAACTATTCCTTCCATCTCTACGGTTCTATTCATTTTTTGGGTAATGATGGATTCTTGTTCTTTACTCTAATTTTCTTACGTAGCAAGTTGTTTTCTTGATCATTAAAATGTCACCGAAAGAAACATAGTCATTAACGAGTGGCCCCCCAACTATCCGAAGTCACATAAAGAGTTATATCAAACAGAGAAAGAAAAGGTAGGTTCCATCCGGAAAAGTAAACTTTCTTCAGATTGTGCAACAGAGTTGAAATAGTTCCTATCAGAATCGTAATCTTGCCTAATTAAACATCCACAATTAGAACTTGCCTGATCAATGGCGAAATCAAAATAATACCGGAGTTGCTGTTGATGCTGAAAAATATACTTTTCGGTGGCTAAATTGTAAGACAAACCGATCGCTTGTGCGCCTGAGTATACAAATCCTATCACGTTTATTGACATACAGTACCTGCATATTGCCAAATCCCCATTTTATCAAAAGCCTGATAAGGTGAAAACCCCGTCTGTCTACAACTCAAAACAATCCGCAAAAATCGAGATTGATGTTCTCAAACGAGTTTAACAAGGTTCACTTTTAACTTTTAAGATAGAACAATTGAATTCATATGAATAAGCTAAGAAACATAGTATTAAATTTGTGTATGAGCATGAAAAGGTGAGATTTGAATGATAATAAACTTGCTTGAATTCTTTATAACGTTCGAAAGAATCAAGAGCCCAGCCCTGATTTCTATCAGCTGCCATAACTGAGACCGAAGCCAAGCAAAACAAGAACCCAAAAATCCTAAACCCCAAAGCAGCTTTTTTCACCATTTTTTCCCTCTTGGTTCTACTCGATATAGAAAGCGACGGCCTCCGCCGCCCACTTCCACCGCCATGTCCACCAATAGTTTCTCCGACGGGTTTTCCATCTGGGCCACCCGGATCAGTCTTGGCCACTATTGCCATAGGCTCTTCTACAACAGACCAGTTCACAACAGCCGGATGATTCTCTGGCGAGTTCTTTGGAGGAGGACTCTCCGCCTCCGGTGGAGGGGAGGCGGCTTTATGTTCTCTTGGGGAGGACCCATGAGTGAGAGTGGTTCGATCAGATGAAACTGATGACCGGTCCGGTGAGTTTCCTGCCGGCGGTGAGATTGATATGTGTTCTCCACTATTTTGTTTGGAGTGTGGTGGTGAGGAATCGGAAACTGAAACTTTGTGTAGAGGAGAAACTGCAGTAGTGGACTCGGAATCAATAGCTGTGTGTCGTTTATTTGGGGGTTCCATTTTTTTCTCTACTGAATTGCTGATTGACGTCTGTGTTCTTTTTAAACAGTTGCTGATTGACGTCTGGGTTCTTTTCAAACAACGAGTCCATTTTTTTCTTTTTATACAAATACAATTATGGGTTTGGGGCACAAACACTGGGTTCTCGGTAATAACATGGCATGTTGGGGGCCAACAGTCTTGTACATGATAGGCCTGACCCAATCGAAGCCAAATCTAGTTGAGTTAATGTTTACACCAAGTCCCATGTTTTAAAATCAAATTTCAAAAATCAGATCCAAATTTTGTTTATTCAAAAATCAGGTTATAATTTAAAAAATTAATATTAATAATTATATCACAAAATCAAATTAATCATTTACCTATTTTTTTAACTCTCTCTCTCTCTCTCTCTCTCTCTCTCTATATATATNTTCCACTTCGACGAAATGGCACTTCGGCATCAGAGGAGCAGCCGCTTTCTCGTAGCAGCGGCGCGGTATGAGAGCCCACAGATTCAGATCTGTTGTTTTTTCAGCAGCGCGGTGCGATTGCGTACGAGAGCCCACGGATCTAGATCTGTTATTTTTTTCAGCAGCGCGGTGCGACTGCACCTCTACATGATCCATATCATTTTTTATTTTTTTTTTTGTTAGTGGTGAAGTGGAGTTGTGTGGTGCTGCTGTGTTGCTGTATCTGTGGTTGCAGTGCGATGATTGGATGTGTATACAGAGTGCGATGGTGGTGATCGTGGTTATTTTTGTGTTGTGGTCAGGAGATTTCACCGTCGTGATCAGGTATCGGAAGGTGGTGCACTGTGTATCATTGTCGGGATCGTCACCGCCGCAATTTGGTGTGGGATTTTTAGGCTGTTTTCAGTTGTGGATGGGGGCTGTGGTGGTGTTTGGATAGCGGCGATTATGTTAGATTTGGTGATGGATCAGATGGCGGCGGAGCAGTGATGGTGGTGGTGGAACGGTGGTGGTGGTGATGTTGACAGTTTAGTGTAGTGGTGTTGGTGAAAACGTTAGCAGCATGTTTGAAACGAAGATTTTGTTGCTGGGATGTGGTGGTGTGGGTGTTAGCGGTGGTGGTGCGTTTTCGTGATATTGGTATTGGCGGCGGAGACGACGGTAGTGTTGTGTTGGTGATGGTCACAAATGATTTGTTGATTGTCACTAACAAATTGGTTGGTGTGTGACCAATAATTGGTTAATTTTTGACAAATTAATAATATGTGACTTAAAAATTGTAACCGTGACTCACATTTTATTAAATTATAATCGAGTTGTGACCAATAAAAGTGATATGTGACCTATAATTTGATGTTTTGTGATCATAAAATAAGTTGTGTGACTTATAAAATTTACAATTTGTGACCGATGAACAAAATGTGACTTTTAAATTTTTAATTTGTGACCGATGAACGAATTGCAACCTATAAAATTTTTGAATTGTGACTTTAAAATTTTTGAATTGTGACCAAGTTGCATAAATTTGTAACCTTTATATATTTATTAATAAAATATATAATTAATTAATTAAATTATAAATAAGTTTTAATGAAAACCTGATTTTTGAAATTTAAAACATTTATCCTTAATTTTGAAATAGTGATACTTAAATACCTTATTTATTATTGTTCCCATTTTCGAATAGTTAGGCCCAACACTCGTTCCACTGTCCAAATTCAGGTTCATAATACTCTCAGGGTCCATTTGATTGTAAGAGTGAAATTTGGGTGAAAAAAATGATTTACAGATAATTGAATTGTCTACAATTGTTTTCCTGAAAATGATTGGTATAATTTTTCACCTGAAAAATGTTGAAATTTTGGATCTTTTAGTGTTCATTTGACTTTGTTTTCCTTGAAAATTGTCCATTAAAGGAATTTTTTTTTAAAAAAAATTGTCCATAAAATTTGTTTTCATTGCCAAATTTTTTTTTTTTTAAATGTTGGAAACCANATAAAATTTGTTTTCATTGCCAAATTTTTTTTTTTTTAAATGTTGGAAACCATTTTCCCACCAAATTGGTGAGAAAACCTATTCAACAAAAACAAGGAAACAGGGCCACGTGAGGGATGGGAGGAAAAAAATTTCCATAAAAAATTTTGGCTATAAAACATGGCAAAACTGAAAAAATGGAATTTCAATTCCATTTTTTATGAAAAAGAGTCTATCAAACATGCTCTTAAGGATTTATTAATAAATAGATTTCAAACATAAAATACAAATAACAAAACCTTTTTGAGAGTTCATCATTTTGAATGAAATTCTTATGGATACGAAAGAAATCTATTCAATTTTATGAAATTGATTATAATTTATATTTTTTTAAAATTCATTAAAATTCTAGTTGTAGACCCTCTTGAATTTGTTAAATTGTAAAGTCTAATACATTAATGGCAATGAAGTTCAAAAATGATATATATTTTTCGGGCTATGCTAGACTACCAGATGAATTTTGCCAGAAGTCTACCAGATACTCACATGAGGTTTTAATAATATTAAATTATCTTCTGCTAAAACTTCTATTTGGGTCGTAGATTCTT